TAAAGGATGTGGTGGAAATGAAATAGATTTAAAACTAAAGAAGCCTGTGAAAGTATGTGTATGAAAAAGACAACAATCAAATCTATAAATAATCAATCAAGAACAACATCATCATGGCAAAAAGTTAATGAGACAACGACACGAATCATCAATTTAACAAAATCAACTTTACAGAAAAAATAGAATGATTTAAACATATCTAAAAGTATTACAAATGTCTTTTTCAAATGTTGTATGTAATAGAAATAATAAAATTTTTGTCAAGTTTTATACTTCCAATGTGACTTTATCAGAAGTAGATGGGAATCCATTCTGTATTGAAATATGTCTTTTATTTTCTGAACCAGACGTATTTAATTTCAGTTGTTAAGATCATGCATCAGTTGAAGATAGACCACCATGGAAAACCTGGAAGCATTGGACGGCTGTTTCGTCCGATTGTGGGACTCACTGAAGACAATAATGGGTGTGTCGGTCAATTTTATGGGTTGGTTGAAGTTTTATAATAACACCGTTGGATGCCGATTCAGTGGTCTAGAGGTTAAGCGCTCACTCGCGAGACTGATAGTTCCTGTGTTCGAATCTCGCTGGGGGGGTGCGGTATTGTGGATTCGCACTGCTAAGGACGAAACGGTCATCAAGTCCTTCTAGGTTTTCCATAGTGGTCTAGCTTCAACTGACTCATGATCGTAACCATCGAAATTACTATAATTTCCACAAAACCCATCTGATATTAATTATTTAATTCTTAATCTCATAGACAAAGTAAGTTCATCTGAGACGTTTCATTGTGTACCATTGGTTGAATAAACGTCTTCAAATCAATGTTAATAACTCACTTCACAAACTGATGTATATGCTCACCAAGTTCTCAAAAAATGAGAATTTTGACATTCTCTATTTTAGTCGCATCATTAACTAACCACATTTTAAGAATGTCTCATCTATAATAATATAGTCATTTACAATAGGATTTAAAATTATCTGAGATTCTTAACGTCATTTTTTCTGAGCAATATAATTCACATGGAACTTTATGATTAAAATATTCATCTTTGTACAAGTCGAATTCAGAAACCATCTTTGGCTACTTAGAAAGATAACAATGTTTGATGAAAAACAACCTTTTCAATAGTGTATCCTTAATCAATACTAAAGATAATTCACTTTAGCTAGTGACTATTTTGTTTTCAGGAGTGAAACAGAATTGTCATCAAATTACTGTCTGACGTTTGTATCATAAACATAATCAGAATAAGCAATAAAAAAATATCTTTTAGGATTGTCTAAAATAAGTGCCATTAATGGGAGGCACCATCACTTTATCCCTTCTCCATATGATAAAATAATCTATTATGTAACAACGACGTCATCTAACTATTCTAACTAAATATGATAAACGACGTTAGATATTGTGTTGATGTCAACATACGTAATACTGACATCTTAATAGATTTACCAACTAAACACTGTTAAATTGAACGAGACAGATAGTGATGAAATCGGTCATCACTGATCGCATGAGTGCTATTTTTATCACACATTGGTTGATGAAAATCATTGAATTTCTCATGGTTTACATCATGAACTGATTTTAGCCAGCCTATCACTGAGGATGTTTACGGGATACAGCAAAGTGATTGAAGTTAGACATCCACATCATTAAACGATGATTCACTGATATGGAAGTTAAGAACTTGTCAAGAAATCAAAGATTTTGGATTCAGCATCCATTGTCGTCTTGGGCCCACTTGTTAATGAGTTTCATACTAAGATGAAACAAATACCTGGGAGATTTTGGATTACACTGTAGCTATAACCAAGATAAGTTAATGATGTGAACTATATAAATCTCCAAAAATCCATCTATACTACTAAAATAATTTTTTCCCAACATTTAGCAACTACATAGTAAAACTAATATGGCAATCTTTTTGCGAAGTTTCAACACCTACTGTTTTAATTTTTAGTATCAATAAATAATACCATAGATGCCTGTAAAAGTGTGTTGTTTTGGCGAAAGTACGAAATAACGTTATTCTCAAATTAGTCAGTTTATTTTTAATGTAACTGCCTTCATAGTGTATTGTTTCCGTGACTTCGATGCTGTGTTAAATCAACATAATAATTATGAGGTAACAGAAAAAGAACCCAGCATAGTATTTGGTCCAGTCTCACAACATAGATGAATAAAAAGGTTCTCGTTTAGCGCAAACTATGCAATCTATTTATTTCGTAATTATCTGATTATTAAATGTTTCATTAGTTTATTAGTTTGAGTATAAAATAGAAGACTTCTATCTAATTGATCAAAATTAAACTACTCATATAATAAACAGTTGTATTGGTCTTGGAGTGGTCGTTCTGTTTTTAAACAAATAGTGAAGCCATAGTAAAATAACCACCAGAAGTTCCTATGTTTATGACTCATGTCAAGTGAAGAATTTATTGATTAACGTCGTCTTGCTGCTTTGGATTGTTTTAAAGTTTTACGTTTTCTTTCTTAATGGTCGAAAACTGATCCAAATCTTGATTCGAATAGACGAATATTGTTCAATGTCTATAATGCTATTTATTTTGTGTTTATTTGATAAAATATTTACTAAAGATCATAATTTGAAATTTTATTACTAGTTCCTGGATAATATCCTGAATCTTCTGTAAGTTTCAATGCGAAAGTTATTACAAGATATTTAGGTTACCTTCAAATAAATTGGAACACCTGTAGTGTTTCATCGAGTTATGATAAAATCTTAGCAACAATTAATGTACGCTGTTGGTAACACTAGTTCGTACCCCAACAAGGCGCGATAATATATACACTCTGCTTGCACGGTTTGGTTTTTTTCATTACTATTTTAGCCCAGTGGTGCTCAAAATATCTGTCGGAGATTAACACGCCAAAATGTGGGTGCATATGTTTCGGCAATACTTCACTCAACCTAAATCTTACCATTAATAAGGTGTTGTCCAAGTTACATACAAGAGTGGACTAGAACTCAGGTATTCCTACGATTTGTCATTCTCAAAACAGCTATCAAAACAGACCTCCAAGTCTCAGTGACTTCTGAGTTTAATATTTCATAACCTCTGCAACAATTAGTCCTATATTTTTATTTGAAAAGTAGGTGTTCGACCACTTCTAAGATCCTGTTCGTTCATTCTTAGCGCTGTTCGCATAAAGGATAAATTAAAGCTGGAATCCGTTCACAGATGATTTACATTGATCATTCAAGCGATTGATTGTAGCTTAAATTATAAGTTCAGATGTATTAGAATTGAATTCGACACTTTATGAAAGAGGAGACTAAAAATAAATATAATCTTCTTCAAATTACTTCATACCCAATGCAACAATTCAGTATGCAGAAACTCCTAGTTACAGCATCTGCAACTCTTTGTCATTGGTGAAATACTCTCATTCTAAATCTCCTCTCTTTAGGAATTACATGATCAGCTTATTTTCCACACTCTGGAATAACCTACCACAATTTGTCCACAAAATAAAACCACTCGCACCCTTTGTTTGTAGCATCAATGCTTACTTCCCCCTCTGAAATTGCTTTAAATGTTCTTACATATCTAAGTATATCCCATTCCGCAAGTGAGATTAAAGGAACTTTAAATGTTTAATCTTTTCTATTACTGAGACCAACAACTAAACTTCCCCACCTGCTGATGCTTTATATTGACACCGTCTATGGTCACCTTAGCTGATTTCGAATAATATCTAACATGAACATTATATCATTGAATCACCTGACACATGTTTTATGGTAGATCTGACTGACATATTTTAGTAATTATTACTTTGTTCTTCAGTGCTCTTTTTTTCGTTTTATTTTCGCTAGTTACAGATTATTCTAATTAATTCGTTATGGCTCAGGAAGTGACCTTAATACACCGTCCATACATTGCTAGGACGTCCACACATAAAGAATTAAATTTTCTCAGCTCACGTTTTCATTTTCATAAAACATGTGAAGAACGTAGTACCTAAACAATTTTTGAATTAGAACACGTTAAACAGTCCAATAGTTCGAATATCCTCCACATTTATTATTACTATCTACATCAAGTTGGTCATTTCTATAAACTGGCATGAATACTGTACTTATTAATCTTAGAATATATTACTATTCTTATATCATCTATTCGTTATCACAAACTTGGTTTAAAGCTTACTGAAGTTTATACTGAATCACTACACTCAATAGAATCATATAACAGAATTTATTTCAAATGAGCGTGTATCGTTCAAAACATTTTTGGATCTTTGAAATAAAGACCAACTTTCAAACTTCACTTATATATGAGTAAATTTAAATAATATAAATTCATGTACACTTTATACGTTATAGTTAATAATTCTGAATTACACAGAACCGATTAGCTAATTATTTTTGGTTGTATAGTTAATTGTCTTTTGATTCATACAATACTAATTTATGAATGTTATTCCGTTCCGTCCTAGTATGAGACTCCTCAGAAGTGTGCATTCACTATCCTGCTCACGAGATTCGAACCCAGTACCTATCGGTTTCACTCACGAACGTTTAATCTCTAAACCACTGAGCCAATATCCAAAGGTGTTCGCGCGCAAGACCGATAGGTTCTGGGTTCGAATCTCACGGGGTTGGATCATCGATGTACACTGTTGAAGAGTCTAATATTAGGACTAAACGGCCATCCAGTACTTCCAGATTGTTCATAGTGGTCTAGCTTCTATTGACTCATGAATTCAACTATTAAATAAATATTATCGATTGATTTTTAAGGAAAATATTGTTACTACAGTGACTATTTCATTTCACCAACAAAAAAGCATACCATTAAAAGAAATTAAATTAAACAGATACAATGAAAAATTGTTACTATGAAGGATTCAAAAATAAAAACAATTGAAAACTGTTCATCAATACAATTTGTAAAAGAAAGCCAAATAAAAAAATATATTCATGTCTGTGTGAAAACAAACAAACTTTCTACAGTGACAACACTTAACTGCTGCATAGATTTTTATAGTTTGGTGGGATTTCATCACTTACATAACCTAATACTTTTAAAAGTGAACTATTTGTAGTCATTAATTTGAAAAATTCTGTCAAAGTAGGTGAATCATTATTTGACCATGCATCCAATGAATTATTATGGATTGATTTAACTATTTGAATTGAACTTGCTTCATATCTAATAAAAAGAAAGTAATAAAAAAAATGCGAAAATTTCTCATCTATTATATTATTTCACTGATTGAAATCATGAGTCAATTGAAGCTAGACCACCGTGGAAAACCTGGAAGCCCTCGATGGCCGTTTCGTCATAGTATGGGACTCCTCAACAGTGCGCATCCACGATTTCGCACTCCGCGAGATTCCAGTGCTTCCAGGTTTTCCATGGTGGTCTAGCTCCAATTGACTCATGATTTCAATCAGTGAAATTTCTAAAAATCTCCACAAAACTCATTCTGATAATATAATATTGTTATCAGTGGGATACCACATCTATTTACATACACATAGACCGTCTCATTCCTTTAGATATATTTGAAACTCACATAACTAATCTATGAGGGAAGATGGATGGTAGCTAGCGCTAGAATCGAGAATGCATGTTTTATCTTATTTGGGACTCATCAACTGGAGATTTAAGAGTGAACATCAACTTTGCGATGCAAGTACATCCAGCTGAAAGGTCCCAAATATAACGAAACGCGCGTCCTGGATTCCACTACCAACTATTATTCATTTCTGCCTTAAAACCTTGTGATTTGAGACAATATTGAGTCAATCCGCAAAAGCTGTATATATGCCAATAAGATATCGATCAATTCCAGTTCTAATTATCATTGAGAAGATTTAAACAACCAATACAAAAATGAATTTAGCAATTACAGTTTGTTGAAGAATTTATTCTTTACTATTATTGACATTTCCCAGATATCATGTTTCCATTGCCATATATATGCCCATATTTATCTGACTTACTCGGAAAATGTGTTGAAAATTTATTATCAAAATAATGCGAAATAGTTTGAAGCGAAGGGTACGGGGTTCGAGTCCCGGACATCAACTCTATGGTGTAGATGCATCCAGCCGACGAGTCCCAAGTGACATGAAACACATTTCCTGGAGTTCACTGCTAGTGACCATACATCTTTGCTTGAAATGGGTATAGGCTTCTATCAATATGCTCACTTGGTACTTTTGTTTGGAAACGATTTATAAAAACTGGTATGGACTCAAATGTTAAAAGAAATGTGTTCATTGAGAGCACTGTTCTTGGAATCATAGTCGACAAATATGTTCTGGGAATTGTATTATTCTTCACTCTATGGAGTTATCATTCATCGTCGAAATTCGACAAACTTTTGTACTTCAACAGATGTATTTTATCTTCGCCAGTGATTTTCAATGTTGTCTTACCTCTAATAACGAATTACTTTAATAACTAAAGAGAATGAAAGTATTTACATTTCAAATATCAGAAAACTACATTTTAAATTAATTTTAGCTTAAAGGTGTATATAAACAAGTGGATAGTATGTTATCAAACAGTTTGTTATCAATATACATATTGTATTTGTATTTGTTAACTATAATAAACTATGAAGTTGATAATGAATCTAAAATTCCAGGTGGTTTGTTTGAGTATCTGAGTTACCTGTTCCTGTCATCTGGATATTTCAACAAGTTATCTGTTTTCTTATTTGTTTTAATACATCATTATACCCATTAGTCGCATAACCTATTCAGTAGCGTTTGTAACATGTTTACGACATTTTGCTCAACAAGTTACAAAAGAGGCCCAATCAAAGACATCATGGTTGCTGATAATAGGCATCGAAAAAAAGCATATTATTCAAATGTCTATTCCTCAACTGCTAACATCTAACTGGTGACACTAAACATTCATCGCAAAAGTCGATCAAGAAATAAGGCAAGGAAACTTTTTGAAATACTTTATGCTGAGGATCCTATATTGTACTAAAACTATAATATTGAATGAAGCCAATAATAATATACTTGTATATATAGTATTTAGCTTTCTATTTAACGTATATAGTACATAAGTATTTAATAAAACATTAGTTTACTTGTTTAATTTCGATGTATTATGAACAAACTTTTCATGTTCCAATAATTTATCATCCCATGGTAATTCAAGAAATCTAATAAATATAAAATAAAAAATTGGCATCATTGTTCGAATATCTCACAAGGATATATAGATGATATAAAGATATTACGTAACAGAATATTCACTCTTATATTAGAACTGAATAAAAAGTAAATAAATCTATCTATATTTCTATTAAGATTCAATCTTAGTAATTATCACTTTGAATGGATTTTTGAGATCCAAGAATCATTCTCATGTTTAATCGGGTAAGATATTTAAAATGGTTGAAGAATTTGGTAATAATCATTAACATTCTTGTCTAGTTCTTATTACTGAGTGAAATCTATTGACCAAGTAGTAATATGATTACTTTAATAAGAGATTCACTAGTTCGTATTTTTATATTAGTTAGTTGTAGAAAGTATTTGACATAGGTAGTATTAAACATGTTAATCAAATTTTCTTTTTTCTATAGGTAATCGATTTCGAAATTGTTTATGATAAGTCATGCAAATTGAACGCTATATTCGTTTCCTAAGCTATTCTGTAACCCCCAAGCTAGAACTACACAGCGACCTGAACAACGAGAGAGAAGACGTAAAATATGCGAGAAGTACTTTACTCAAAAGTTCATTTCAATACAGAAAATATAGGGTTTTTATAATATTTTAAATGTCCTTGGGTCGCTCGAAGATTCTGAAATGCTACTAAACACAGTAGCAGTATAGCAATCAGCCAATTAGAACCTCTACATGTAACGTTTCACTTCCTTGATGTTTCTGGCTAAAACTTCAAGTGAACGCTGATTGGATGAAACGTTTCTTAGTATTTCCTTATATTTGCTTGTCTTTTGTGAGAAATTTGCTGGATCACCCCAGCAGTTTAGAGAAAAAATGTTCTTTCTTTTTAATTCCATATATATGATCTTAAAATTCTTTATGCATTGAGAATAGTCAGTAATGACTTTACTTATCAACTGAAAATGTTACCAGTTCGATAAATTAATTTTTATTTGCCTTTGCCTGAATCATGGATTAAAACTTGATAACTTTCTAAATGAAAAAATTCGAGGGAAATAAATATCAGTATAGGGTTATGGAGATTGTTGAGTTGAGATTGAGATCATGAATGGATCAGTAACAGAACACCAGTGAAAAGATTAGAAGCACTGAACAACTGTTTTGTCCTAGTAGTGTGCTTCCACGACTCAAACCTAAAACTTTCGGTCCCGCGCGCGAAAGCATAATCTGAGGAATCCCATACAAGGACGAAACAACCGTCCAGTGTTTCCAGCTTTTCAATAGTGGTCTAATGTTAATCCATTCATTATCTCAGTTAGAAATAAATATTCTATGTTTAATATTTTGCACATTCACAATCTAGTAACCTGACAATAGGTGAATAAAAACAAATACCATTCCGGGTACATTAAAGGAGTGAACAAAGAAAGAAATCTTTTACTAATCTAAAGGATCAGGCACCGTAATTCTAAACAAGACAGATTACATAGATAAGATGAATTCCCTACTGAGTGTTCAAACTAAATTTCAAAAGCTTGAGTCATTTAAAGACCTCAATGAAAAGACCGAACGTCAACTAACTGCAGTATTAAAAGTTTTAAAACAACATCAATACATTTCTGGGCATACCTATAATGCGCTCAAGCCTTCTGGAACACATACTCCTCGACTATATGGTCTACTTAAGATTCATAAACCTGATGTTCATTTACGCCCGATTCTGGATATGTCAAACTCACTATACCATTCAAAAGCAAAATGGTTAGTTAAATTATTAGAACCATTGCACCAAGAACTAGTTGAGCATAGTGTTAAAGACGTCTTTGAATTTATGGATACAATTAAAAACATGAACATAAATGGGAAAACCATGTTATCGCCAGACATAACATTTTTGTTCACTAACATCTCTCTGAGTGAAACTACCGATTACATATGTGAACAATTGCTAGAAAAGAAAATAGAGATGCTGATCCCAGTAAGTAAAATGAAAGAACTTCTGTTGAAATGCAGTATGAATACCTACTTTAAGTTTAACAATGAATTTTTCAGACAAGTAGATGGGTTAGCAATGGGATCACCTTTAGGCCCGATCCTTGCTAATATTTTTCTGGCCAAACTAGAAAATGGACCGTTTAAAGACATCCTAAGTAGGCTTGATAATTGCTGTCGATACATAGATGAGGCGGAGAAAGACAATAGTATAGCTTTTCTAGATTTCCTACTTTCTAGAAAGAAGAAATTGTGACACAGTCAGTAAAATAACCCTATATCTGAGACTAGACTTTAAAGGGGAAATAGCGGGTGATATTTTAACACGTCGACTCAAATGATCTGTCGAAAGGACGTTTCACACCGCCAAGCTACACATAATTTTCTCCACTGAACCAGTACTCACACAACTAATCAAGGATAGGTTGCCGAAGAAGGGCTCCTCCATGTGTGTATACCAATCCAACTGCTCCTGTGGAGCTAGGTACATAGGCCGTACTCAGAGGGATTTATCCTTGCGTGTTCGTGAACATGTGCCAGCATCCTTGGGAAAAGGAGTCACTAAATCGATTAACAGCACTATCCTTTCTCACTTGGTAGATAGTGAACATCATATCGAAATAAAGGAAGCTTTCTCTGTTTTATATCAAGTTCCAAAATATCTACCTCAAGGAGCTAGATTACGATTGTTCTACATAGCCGAAGCCATCTGAATCAACTCCAGAAAACCAAACTTATGTATCCAGAAAAAGTTTATCCACCCTTTTTGTTTACCTTGGCCTACGACAGGAACACCGGATACCTAAACTGAATACTGTAAACATTTTACCCCCTCTTTTTTTGATTACCTCTATCTTACTCTTCACATCCATCATTCCCAATTCGTTTATCGTAATTGCCTTGATAACATCCCCCTTATTACATATTATATTCACACAACAATATTATTGTTATTTCAATTGACAAGATGAAATTCTCCTACTATGCATTTTATTCACACAATTATTTTTGCATTTTCATTTTTGCTATAATACTATTCTACTTATTGTGAATGGACACTACTCCAAATCATTCTGACCTTTATTGAATGACCTAATTTGCAAATAATACAATTTTGAAGTATATATATGTCGTAACAGATGCAAATGTTTACCATTTTTAACACACAACATTGTCAAATTCATTAATACATTGCCTTATTTTTGGCCTTTGTAAAATATAATTATGGACATCCACGATCTCTCATGCAGGACATTAACCGAGGACCAATAATCGGAAGAAGTTGCACAGATAACACGGTCAGATGTCAGCTCAATGGTCTAGAGGTTAAGCGTTCGCGCACGAGATCGAATGTCCTGGATTTGAGTTCTACGTGAGGGATCGTGACTTCGCCCTCTAGTGCTTTCAGGTTTTTAATGGTGGTCTAGCTCAGATCAACACGCAAATTCAACTGTCAAAAATAATTTTCATCAGAATGATAAAAATTTCACATTCGATCACAACTAAATACTTCCCATATAATTCAACTAATCAGATCTCACAAAACTGTTCCAAATGTCAATTATATCGGTGCGACTATAATTTATGGACGACATTTCAGTGACGCCGAACTGACCTTGAGAGTGTCCACCTTATAGCTAGGACCAGATCATGGTTATAAACCAATGTGAGGAATAAGAACTATGATTTCCAGTTAATGGTTAAGGTTAGGAATTAGATTTAGGGTTTTCACCATTATCTTTAATGCTAAAGTTCTATTCATCCAAATGGATGAATGAATTTCGCACCAAAATCCGAGACCTGTTATTTTATACCTGATTAGTTCGTTCATAAATTATTGTCTCGCCATCATATCTCTTATAAAAGTTTACATACAGCATTATATTAGCGAATTATTACATTTGGATAAAATTAATTACGACAATGCATAAACTTTCTTTTACGACAAAACAAGAATTTCAATCTTCCACTAGTAAACAGATATCCCAATGATCTTTAGGAATATTTCTATAATTTTGTACAATAAACTAATGATTATTTAAATGATTGAAATATATTAACCTACCAAGAACTTTTTTAATCTCTTCACGTGGATTTAATATAAAACATTCATAACGGACAGATAAACACCGAAATATTCCAATGTATTGACAATCTTCCAACATTTGTGATGTTGTTCTCTCCCAAGATAAAATTGCTGTAGTGATATTTTCTAATGTGTAAAATGGATGTATACCACGTCTTCAATAAAGTTTTAAAGGTAAAGAAAAATATATGGAACAGATTTATTTCAAATGTCAAGTAAATACAGTTTCGATGGTTGAGATAATGTGTCATTTGAAGTTAGACCATAACGGGAAACCGGGAAGCAGTGCTCATCCACGACCCCGCCTCGCGGGATCCGAACCAGGACCTTCAGTCTCGCGCACAAGCGCCTAACCACTAGACCACTGAGCTAGCCGGCATCCAGCGTTATTAATGTCTAACTTCAACCAATCCACGAATACAGTTTCTTTAACAAATGTATATTAACATCAGAGAAGGTTTTCAAAAAAATTGGGTTTTATTTCAAAGACAATTTGATACATATTATTAAAACATCTTATATACTAAAGTAATAAATACGTTAAACAAACTACCTGTCAATAGTTCCTTTAACGTTTTTTTTGTGCGAGACTATAATTTATGAACGAACTAATCAGGTATAAAATAACAGGTCTCGGATTTTGGTGCGAAATTCATTCATCCATTTGGATGAATAGAACTTTAGCATTAAAGATAATGGTGAAAACCCTAAATCTAATTCCTAACCTTAACCATTAACTGGAAATCATAGTTCTTATTCCTCACATTGGTTTATAACCATGATCTGGTCCTAGCTATAAGGTGGACACTCTCAAGGTCAGTTCGGCGTCAATGAAATGTCGTCCATAAATTATAGTCTCACCGCTTTTTGTTTTTTTCTTATTCACTCGTTTTTATCATAATCATTTTTATATTTTAGTGGCCCAGGATCTGGCTCCAGTGAGATCGTTTCTGATTGCTATTGAGATATCGTCAATCCTCGTATATAATTATCGACTTAGATCGCGTTAGTGAATAACGGAATAGATTTTCCAATACATATATTTTGTACAATCGATGACCGGAACAGATAATCAGAGAGGCGTAGCGAAGGAACCGAAGAAGAGAGAGCGAAACGACGTGCAATGGAGAAGGCATGTGAGCCAACTCCACTTAGTCAAGCGTTAATTAATATTTATAGTTACACAAAAATAAGTTACAGACATGTGATGAATAGGATAAAAAGTGTACACATAAATACGCTCATGTAAAATCAGTCAAGCTTGATAAGTGAATAATCAATAAGGTCAAAATGTGACTCAAGAAGAATGAATAGATTGAGCTGTCCGAAAGCTAGAATAAGATATATGGGCTTAACATAATAACCGACACTATCGTATATTTATTGACCAACCCTCTCATCTTTATCAACTGGATATTTATATTTAACAAAAATTTTGTTTTTCCTTGTTATCCATTTTTAAATTTAACGATCGTTAAGGTATCCTTTTTTGATAGTTAAACTTTTCGAACAATTGTTCATTTATATCAGAAGGGTTTTTGTGGATATTATGGTAATTTCAATGGTTGAGATCATGAGTCAATTGAAGCTAGACCACCAATGAACCTTTGTAATGCTGTTTATCCAGTTGTCCAGTGTTTCTTTAGCTTCATCTTCATCTTGGCAACCACTAAGTGGTGATCTGAATCTATATCAGCTCCTTTCCTGATTCTCACGTTTTGCATTGTCCTTCTGAATTTTTTATTGATACAAACGTGATCTATCTGATTCTCTGTGGTGTGACCCGGTGAGACACATATAGCTTAGTGAATGAGTTTGTGTGAAAATATTGTGCCGCCTACGACCATGTTTCTGAGCATGTTCCAAAGAACCTGAGGCTGCGAGGGACTAGGACTCTCAACAGTGCAATAGCCCGGCACTTACTCGACACCAGGCATACCATCGACATCCCGCACGCCTTTAAAACTATCAACAGACAAAGAAGCACGACTGCTCTCCGTTTCGCTGAAGCAATCCTGATAAAAAAACTTAGACCGGATCTATGTATTCAAAAGGAGACATTAATAAACTTATTATTACCCTGGTAATCCATTTTTTTGTTATTTGGGTTATTTTATTCATTTATTTATTTTAAAACATTTACTTTGTGTTATATCTCTCCCCCATTACCTAATTCTTAAACCAACTTTTCATTCACACATTTCCGCTCACTTGATCCCCTTAAATTAAGTTAACTTTTCAAATTCTATTTACTTATTATGTAACCTATCTTATCAGTTGTTAATTCCATGAATCCTTTATTACCTCTAAAATTATCACACAATTTATCTTATCGGTCCCTGAACTCCACTCAACTATTACACCATCCATCCTTAATGTTTCCTTGATTTTATATATATATATATATTCATAAAGGGGACTAATTGCATGAAATTTATGACCATATTGTGGATTGCAAGTAAATTTGCAAATCTCTCAACATTCTCGTTCCTTTCTCGCAGTTCATGCCGTTCCATGATATCCGGTGTTTTCCATTCCAACTTTGGCGTTTAGATCTCCCATCAAGATAGTCAGGCCTTTTTCAGAGAACTTCACTATCGTCGAGTTATTCCTCTTGTAAAACTTGTTTTTTTCGTCGTCGTAGATTGAATTTTTAAGTTTTATAATAATGAACGTCAAATTATATATGTTTATTAATGAACTGACAATACATTTTAAAATCTACATAGACATACTTACTGTATTGTAGACGCAATAGCAGCCCTTCCGTCCCTAATCATATGAATAAATTTTGCTTTCGGAAACATATTAGCCAGTTCCTCAAGATATATAAATGATGAGGGGTCCTTGTGACAAAGTCTTGGAGCTTTGGGGCCCATCTCTTGAATAATTGTTGCAATAAATGCTGCACTGGCATCATCCAACACATTTTCAGTAATCCCAGACTGTGACAATAGATCACTCATGGTCTCCAGATGTCTTCTATACCTTAATAGCTCCCTAGTCACGATTGGTTCAGGTCCACAACGAACTAACGGATGGATGTCCAGAAGAATGCGCATTAATCCGGTACCTGAAATGAGACAAAATATTAATATGGTGAATACTTTCCTACAGCACATTATACTGTAAACTGAGATATGACACAGATCAAATATAATACTTTTACATTAGCAGTTATACATATATTTTGCTACTAATTATTGCTTTTATCTTGATCCACATAAAGTAATTTAAGGTGTTTAAAGGAAATTGAACAATCTTTAATTGATACTATAAGGGCGATGAAATTGAATTAGCATGTAACACCACCTTTTTATTTACAACGTTCTGTACATTCATTTGTATGGGAAATTGCATTTGAAACTTATAACTTACGTAGTAATAAACTGACAACAAGTATACAATAGTGACTGGACACTCAAATGCAAGACGATCCCTCAGTAGTGAATTTGAGTAGATAATAGGTAATTACTAGATCTAAATACCATGTGCTGAGAATTCTATATTGTATCAAAATGCAATATTGAATAAAGCCATTAATAATAATAAATAGTCGCGATTTAATTTGTATGGTGTTGTAAACAGTCCTCGGTACAAATAGTTGTGAAGATCACATCATAACCATTGAAAACTCGGAAGCACTGAACGGCCATTAACGTCATAGCATGGGAATCCTCCACGATCCCGCACGCCGGACTCGAACCTATAACCCTTGGTTTCGTGCGCGAACTTCAAACCTTAAGACTACTGAGCCGGCATCCGACAGATGTTATTATCTAACTTCAAACGATTCATGATCTTGAGCAACCCTTCATTCATTGTCTAAAATGGATAACTGTCTCCACCCAACACGGATTGGATTTCACTAATCATGACTTCTCACTAGAACTTCATGAGTTTCATCTTAAGGCTAATCGCTAATAAGTATATGATTACTATTAGAATGGATATCTTAGATCGACTCATGAATTCAACCACATTTTGAAATAAACTATCATCATTACTTCCATCATTTCATATTATTGGAAAATCTAGTTTACCTGTACTTTGATGTCCTCCAATAAATATGAAAGGTAAATCATTTGGATCATATTGGTTGATATTGTTTTTTTGTAATTCATATAATACTTGAAATTGATACTTAATAGAGTTGATTCGATTAAATATATTTACTCCCAATAGCATAATACTGAACCATCCAGTAACATAGAGCAATATCTTAAACTGTCCATAGCATATCCTTAATGTATATTCTAAAAAATTTGTATGAGAAAACAAAGTATTATTCTGAGCTGTTTTATGACCAATACCATTTAAGAAGTAAATTCTAAATAATTTTTTTTAAAAGAGAAAATGGAATTCTGAATTCCAATGCTTTACATGCACTGAATATCTTTATTGAAAACTTATTCTATCTTTAGATTGATGATGATTTCATTTCACAGAAATGTATGCAATTGATACTACTACATCAGGTAAATGTTTAGACTTAAACTACTGAAATTTATTTATTTATTTTAACACATAGATATTGGTACAAAGGGGAACCGAATACATATGCGCCACACAAATCTCATTTGATATGTGTTAGGGCTGTGACACTGCCCGAGTGCTCAAACCGAAGCAGGTGGTTTTCTTAGGGGACCACACCCGGAGCATTCGACCTGAAGGTCTAATCCACAAGGTAGTGGAGCATCGTAAAAAGATGCAGTCCCATGGAAGCCGGCGACCAACAATTGGTTCATACGCCATTTGTTTCATTAAAGTACTGGATCCCATGTGTACCATTGGTTTGGAATCAGGGTTTCCCAACTCCCCTATGTGAACTCTCCGTGTCCACCAACCCGGTTAAAGCGCTGGACATTCTCTTTTCGTCCTCTCAATTTCGTAAACAACACCCTCGCCACGAGAAGGCAATGAGTAGGACTTCCCTAGCAGAGGCTATATACGCGTGGCAATGTGAGAGCATTTCGAGAGGAAGGTCGAACCCTCCTCACTCTCAGCCGTACCAGAGCATTTGAGGGTAAAAACATTTTTCCACTTGATTTCGCTTAATGAAAAGAATTAATAGTGAGAAGTAATCCTACCTCCCCAAAGCGGAAACTATTTATATAGAAGTATGACCTTAAATATCTTATCTTATTAAAATCTAATATAAAGTTTACTAGAGTATTTCAATAGTGTAACATAGTAATGTAGTGAACGAGAACACAAGTGAAGACGACCGAATATGTCTGTATGCAAAATAACAGAGCGTCTTAGTAAAATCTAAGAACTATACAGTAAATACTTCATTTACAAAATGTCAATTAATTGTCTTAGACTTGATAGTTAATTTGTTTGTACATCAATGATTCTCTGTTTTTGTTCTCTTCTCTTTAATCTTCTTGACCTTCTGCCGCCAGATATATATCTATCGATATCAGTAGCACACACTACAGTGCCGTTAACTCATATTTTTTGACTATCATAAAAATTAAACCTGAAAATAAATAAACTAACAAAAATAGTAGGAGACTACATATTGCCATACAACCTACATATCGACATTCTCATATTTATTTACATTTGTCCAATAACACCGAAATTCAACAATGTTCTAGTGAAGAAATTTTCTCTAACAATCGAAATAAGTATTAAAAATTAGCGGTTAAAATGTGTTCAGTGTAACACTGCAAGTGCTGAATAGAAACTTGGTTACAGAGTCATATATTTAAACCTAATTAGCTGGTGCTTGGAGGTAGTCGATAGGAAGCCCTGGACCCGGGTTTCGTGCTACCTGCCACTCGTCAGCAAGGTGTACCTGTAATCTAGAGGGAACTGGTGCTCCCTGACGGATACGATCCCGTATCACCCAGCTTCACAGTCAGAGACGTTACCACCATCATTTACTATATCTTCTTAATCAATATAAATATTCAGATAAAATAAATAAGAAAAAATGTATATCTTATAGTGAATATATTACATTATCAGAAGGGGGTTTTATGGAGGTTTTAGTAATTTTTATAGTTAAATTTATGTGTTGATTAAAGGTAGACTACCATGGTAAACTTGTAAGCACGAAAACGATAGTTCCTGTGTTCGAATTCTACGAATGGGATCGTAAATACACCGTCCAGTGCTTCCAGATTTTCCATGATGTTCTAACTTTAATGGACTCATCAATTCAATAACAGCATATGATACAGTTTACTAACTTACTTTTCATTTATATTTATTCGTTGACTGTATATATGACAATACGTTTTAAGAGTAAAATTAACAAGAAAACAATTTTTTATGCCGAATAATATTTCGTTAAAAAAGACAAAAAAATAGAAGAGAAAAGAAAAAGAAAATCATTCCAATCATATTGTATGAATTTACTATTCAATAGGTTTGAATGTTCTTCGAATTCTAACCAATCAAAATCATTTATTGTTGTTTTTTTTTTAATTTTTTTATTTTTGTTTATAATTGATATTTTAATTTACTTGATATTGCTTTGCTTGAATCTTCCCAAATAGGATGAAACTGGTGTCCTATATTCTACTGCTAGTCACTATCCATAATATTTGAATTGTTTTATTTTAATTAATTTATAACTATTATTAAGTTGACAAGTAAGACCACACCTTTTATTTGAATAATTATACTTTATATTGATTAAAATAAATTAAAAGAACATACTCAGACGAAATAGCTTTCCAGTGTTCTCAGGTATTCTATGATTGTCTAGGTCATGAATAATATATAATTGATAAGGTTTAATTTTTTTTCTAGTTTCATTCTAATTGTTATGGTGATTTCATTAAATTATTTGAACATTCGACAGGTAATCAAAAATAAAAAACAAGACAGAACAAGACAAAATGTCACCGAATTAATTCTTTGTAAATAAACATAAATATTTAATCAGAAGGGGTTTTGTAAAGATTTTAGTAATTTCCCAAGTTTTCCATAGTGGTCTAACTTCAATTGACTTATGATTTCAAGGAATATTTGAATTTGTTTATTTTTCAACTATGTAGAAGAAGAAAAAATTTTTAAAAAATTTATTGAAATGACCCTGTTTTATGGATAAATATTAAGTGATTGGTTAAAAATTAATACCCTGTAGTAGTTGTTAAGAGAAAAATTAAAAAAAACATACACATTGTGTTAGATATACAGTGAAAATTTATTATCATTAATTAGTAGTTAAGTAAATTTACATGAAAAGTAAGTCATGTAATGTATTATACTTGATTTTAAATGAACTTTATATCGTTTCTTCTTTCTCTTTGTTTCATTTCAATAACTAACTTGATCAGATGATGATATCGTATTTCTTTTTTAAGTATGTCTTATTGTTTTTACTTGGTAAATGTATATTTTAAGATCATGTGTCAATTGAAGTTAGACCACCATGGAAAATATGGAAGTAATAGACAGTCGTTTCATCCTATTGTGGCACTCCTCAGCAGTGCATATCCACGATTCCGCCTTGCGAGATTCGAACCCGGGACCTTACTTACCTACTTACTTACTTACATACTTACTTACGCCTGTTACCCTCTCCCATTTGGAGCATAGGCAACCGACTAGTTTTCTACAAATCACTCTGACCTGAGGATTCCTTTCTGGTTCTATCCAATTCTTGTTCATTCTTCTCATGTCTGTCTCCATTTCTCGGCGTAATGTGTACTTTGGTCTTTCTCTTGTCCTTTGACCTTGCGGATTCCATGTAGGGGCTTGTCTTGTGACGCAGTTGGGTGCTTTCCTCAATGTGTATCCTATCCACTTCCAGCGCTTCTTCCTGATTGGTTCAGGTCCACAACGAACTAACGGATGGATGTCCAGAAGAATGCGCATTAATCCGGTACCTGAAATGAGACGAAATATTAATATGGTGAATACTTTCCTACAGCACAACCTGGAAGAACTGGACGGCCGTTTTGTGACTGACTTCACGAGGTATATCCTGGAGTTCTAGTGAGAAGTAGTGACCAGTGGAGTTCAACCAGGTCTGTTGTGAGATAGTAACTCACTGAAGACAATGGTGGATGTGTTGCTCAATTTCGTGGACTAGTTGAAGCTAGACATAAACACCGTTGGATGCCGGCTCAGTGGTCTAGTGGTTGAGTGCTCGCGCGCGAAACCAGTAGGTCCTGGGTTCAAGGTCGTGGGTGCGCACTGCTTGAGTCCCACAATAAGACGAAGTGGCCGTCCAGTGCTTCCAGGTTTTCCATGGTGGTCTAACTTCAACTGACACACGATTTTAACCATTGATAAAATTATCATTTTATTGTATAGATCTATAATATTCATGGATATTCCTCTTATTTGTTTTAAAACAATTTTCATAGAGTTCATATCTAATCCATGTCAAATTCATTATACTATATTATATTGGATTATTGGATATATAATTATGATGATATTAGGACTTTTTATATTGAATCAACTCAATTTCATTGAACATCATTGTCAAACGTTATATAAAAGGATAGAAAGAAAAGTAATCTATATAATGTTTCTGATTCACCATTTATATTTATTGGAGGTCATACAAATACAGGTAGATTAGTTTTATTCATTATGTTATTGATAAAAGTGTAAATACTGCGATACTACTTTATTTGTTAATATATCAATTCAATAATGACATGCATTGATTTAACTAGTTATGACCAATATGATAACATTTGAAATTCATTACTTACTCCTCTTACTCCTCATGGAGAAGCATAGACACTCACCAGCATTCTCTGCCCAACTTTGTTCTGAGCAATCCTTCATTCATCTGGTTAGTGTTTTTGGCGAGTTGGTTTTCTATGGGATGAGGTCGCTAACCATATGTTCAACCCTCCTCCTTTATCCGAGCTTGGGACCGGCAGTAACCCCAGATGGGATCGAGGCGAAGGAACGATAGTTATTCGCTAAAAAACGTTTAAATATCAGTACCATTAAGAAATTACAAGCCTTGGGAAATCAGATGTTTATCTGATTACTTTCCTATAATATTTTTCCAGGTACTGATCTAATGGGAAATATTCTAGATACTCATTCAATGGTTCGTTGCAGACCTAAACCAATTATAACAAAATTCTTATTGCGATACAGAAAGAACAGACTACATTCAATGGAGCGGTTAGTAGAATCTGGTATCACTGCAACCGTGTTAAACAATGCTGTGGCTGCATTTATTGCAACAATAATCAAAGAAATGGGTCCAAGGACACCTAGACTATGCCACAATGATCTAGAATCATTTGATTATCTTGAAGACTTAAATATCTTGTTTCCAAAAGGAAAGTTTATTCACATAGTCCAAGATGGAAGAGCCACTATTGCTTCAGAAATAGCGTAAGTTTTCAAGTAAATTTAATTTGCTTTATACATATTTAAAACGACCAATTGTAACACAGTGGTGATTAATCTCATATAGCTGATCAATTTTACAGAGTTACGAGTTTACATTAGTGACGTTCCATTTTCTATAAGTTGAGTTACACATTCTACACAATGGGATTCAGCCCTGATTTGAATATTCCTTTGGAGTTCGTTATGAATAACATGCGATGTTCAAGAATATAACACAGCACAACTTATATAAACATGCTTATGATAAAATGTCATTGTATCTTGAGATGGTGGAGAAGATTTGTAGCTCAGGTGGGTGATTTTGTTGGTCTTGACCAAAACAATCCAGTTCAGAGAACAAAGCTCCATCAAAGTGATTGTATCATTTAGGTATGATATATTACATAATTAACAGTTTCATTAGCTGTTAATCTAAAGAGTTTAGTCATTGCAAATTCATAATTATATTTATTATAATTACATAATAAAAGTATTATTTTATCCACTAACATTCCCCATTATTATCAATCTAATGATAATGTTTAATAAAGACAAATCTACAAATAAAATCAACATTCATTCCTTCATTGTTTATTTTTCAGTAGAAACATCAATTCTAATTATACATCTGAAAATATCACAGAAGCAATTTTAACTTGGGATGATGTAACAACACAAATACTAGAGGATTGTGAAAACATTGGTAGTGGAAAATGTTTAACTGTACGTTATGAATGTTTAGTATTGAATCCACTAAGAGAAATCCAGAAAGTTCTCCGTAAGTATATATTTATATTTCGTAACTTTACTAAGTATACATAAAAACAATCACCAACTATATATATATATATATATATATATATATATATATATATTCTGCTTAGAATCCGACCAATTAATTTTGGGCATCTGATTACTCAATCCAAAGTACGTTATTAAGTGTATGTCATTAATATTTACAGCTTTCAGTATTCATGAGTCTATTGAAGCCACACCAATATTAAAAAGCTGGACAGCCATTTCGTCTTGGTATGGGACTCTTCAGAACTGCGCATCAACGATCCCGCACTAAAAAAATGCTCCAAATAGGACATTCGGTCTCGCGCACGAACACTTAAAATCTAGTCTGCTGAACCGGCATCTAATAGTGTCTATCTATAACTTTAGCCAATCAAAGAAATTAAGCCATTATCCATGAGTTTAACTATTAAACTACTACAATCTCCACATAACACGCTATCCGATAACACTGATCATATGCTCACTAGTGACTGTCTTCAAGATTTATTTCATGGAGTTCTAGTGAGAAACCGTGACCAGTAGATTTCAACCGTGTCTATTGTAAAGGCAGTTGTTTACCAAAGGCAATAATGGACGGCCGCACAATATCATGCATTGGTTGAAATTAGACACTGAAAAAATTAGACGCCGGCACAGTGCTTTGGAATTTAAACGTTCGCGAGCGAGACGGAATGTAGTGACTTGCAGTCACGTGTGCGCATTATGGATGCCCAATGCTGAGAAGGCCCATAATAAAATGAAACGGCCATTTAGTGCGAGCCGGTTTATCATAGAAGTCCAGATTCAATCGACTCATGAATTCAACTATTAAATTACAACAATCTCCACAAAACATCCTTCATCATAACATTCGATATCTCAATTGAGAATTATCATTTCATCAACAGATAATCAGGAAAGGCATTTCAATATATAGATTCCGTAGTTTATGGTCGCCAGAAATATAACTTCTGTATCACAATTTAAGGTATAACATTTTGTTACAATCACATTCAATCTCCATCTCTGTCAATGAATTCATTGTATTTATCTATAAAATCAGAGAAAGCAACGATGATTACATTCAATCATTAAAGTAAATCCAACTGATAAACTTGTTCAATATCAACCTAATTACAGAACGATACGGCCAAACTGCAAACTGGACATTTTGGAAGAGTGTAATGATGAGATCATCAAATTTTCAACAAACAAACACGTTTAGCATTATTTATAACATTGAGGATTTGTACATCAGATTTAAGCACACTGAATGATATGAGTAATTCAAACCAAAGAATGCTAATGAGAACACATTTCTAAATACAAATCACTTTCATATTGAACAGTTCCGTCCCAAAATAAATAAATCTTATAATGATTATTCTCTTTCTAAAAATGTTTTTCACTTTCCCTCTTCGAAATTTATTTCCCATACTTATTTCTGTTTCATCGATATTCTACTTACTATAAATCAGTAGTCTCAGTTGTATTTATCAATTTATGTCATTTGGAAATCTTAATGAGTTACTTCTTCAAAATAAACGAAAGTACGTTAAGATTTACTTCACTACTTTAATTTTTACAAACAGATTTCTGAATATTTGCTGGGCTAAATCTCCCTCATGTTCTTCAATTCAAACTTGGTTTGATTTGAACTACCTGCCCATGTTCTTTTAATAGTAGATTATTTTCCTTTAAGTAATTCCTAAACACTTGACTCATCTTTTCATCACTTCTATAATTCTAGTCAGTCCTGTATTTCTAACCATAAATCCGTGTATATTATTAAAGTTTTCCCATGACAGTAGTTCCAGCTATGTTAGCTTAATCTGAATAGTTCACACTTCAATATTATCGTATTCCGACTACAATATATTTTTGGCAATAAATCTCCACACATTCACATAAACATATAACAACATGATGACATTTTCTAATGTTTCACTCACTCACTCACTCACTCACTCACCGGTTTAAAATCTTTTCAGCCTTATATCATTTACGATTGCTTATACATTAATTAACAACTACACTTTTTTCCTTTTCAGACTTTCTCGAATTGCCATGGGATGAAAAACTACTTAAGTATGTAAAATATTCTCTTGATAAGTTCATATTAAAATGATAAGTCAGCAGAATGCTTTTTGCATATGAGAAATTATACTGAAGCAAGTAAGATAGAAACTTTCTAAGTAGGAGATGAAATTGTCACATGGATATCTCAAACATTGAAGAATAGTGAGAAGATATTGTTCAACATCACATTCAGCTATATTAAACAAGACATTTCGAGTTTGAATGATTCGTGAAATGCTTAGAAGATGAGGCGGTAAAGGTACTAATCAATAAATCGAATGGACTGAAATAGGTAGTTGTGAAATTTGCAGATGACATGACAACCAGTTTGAAAGTTTACTTAATGTTGATGAGAATTCCAATAAACCAACAGTTACTGATTAATGTAGAAAGGAGTGTCTTTATTAATTAATATGTAAAAGCAAAAAGCAAAAGAAATACCGAAAAATTTAGAAATCGATGAAGAAGAGGAAAAAACATGTCATTTGTATCACACATTAGTCATAGGTATGTTGATAACGAACAGAGGGTGAGCAAACATATAGATAATCAAAGCTATCACAAGTCATGTTTCTCACCATACCTTTCGTTACATTAACGTGTATGCGGAAGAAATGCACGTAAAAAATTAGGTTATTTTAGTAAAATATAGAAAAGCATCATTTATATTTATTTTCAACCAGTTTTCAAATCCAACAGTCGTTTTTCTATGTCATTTGATAAATCATTTCATGGTGTCCATTTTCACTAAACACAGTTAAGTGGTTTATAATTCAGTAGCTATTCACCACAGTTTCATCACTACTTCAATCATGGATATACGGTATCACCTGTGCAGACTGACTCCATCCTACGAATATGAGTGTGATTTTAACACACAATCATACTATCAAACTAACTTCTAGAAACTCAAGTCACGTTATGCAAACTCTCCTCATTCCATCATGGCTAGTTGCAATAAATAGATAGTTGTTAATAATACGTCCTTCGTTTTGAAAACAACATCAAATCAGACTCAAATGAATCATTACAAAGCAATCAGGTACCACGTGTATGGGGGAAACTACTTATGAAACAGGAATATTCAAGGCAAAACAGTTTAGACATGATTTACTTTGAACATGTTTAATTTGTTCTTGCACTACAATTTAATTCGTTTCACTTTATTTCACATATCGAATCCGCAGATATGGAACTGACTCCAGTCGAACAGATCAATTAATTCACAACAATTCTCTAGATGCGTGGTCAAAAGCAAATTCACTCCTATCAGAAGAACACATCGAATTCATGAATGAAAATTGTTTGGCACTAAAACAGTTGGGTTATCTTACAGATGAAATCCCACCGAATTATGCTACAATCTGCAACATCTAAACTATTCTGAAAAAACAAATAGTCAGTAACAAGTTGAAATATGATACCTTGAATTTGTATCTATGAGAAAACATCTCTATTCATTAGTGTGCATTGTGTGTATTGTGTTTATTGTGTTTACGTAGAAACTGTATTTTTGTACACATTGATGCAATAAATATGTGATTTCATGGGAACAAATAGTCGTTTGACATGTTACAACACAGGGTTATTTTCTAAGATAAACAATAAATAAATTGTGTTGATTTACCAGTATTGTCACTAAGCGAAATCATTTTCGTCTTGGTGAAATAAACGACAAACCGACTCACATGAAAAGCTTTCTTCAACAATCTTCCTTCAAACATGAATGGAGTAACGAATTAATAGAATGAGAATTTACAGTTATTATTGAAATAGTAACAGAACTCTGGAACATTAATGCCAAAAAGAACAAGTATTCACTTCCCTTTCTAATGATCACAAGAAAGAGGAAAAATTCATTAAAATCATTCTGAAAATCAACCCTTCAATGAAGAGGAAAAGCAGAGAATTAATCTGTTTATAATTTCAAATTAGAATGAGAAGTAGCAATTACTATGAGTATACAACATGAACTTGGTTAAAAGTTAATGTGAATACATATAAAATAAATATTGTTGAGTTAATGACCCAGGAAACTCCGAAATAATCGAATAGGAGGTGATAGGTTATCAATTCACAGTGAAGACATTTCTCGATAACTAAGATTATAAATAATCTCTAATGATCAGTAAGCAACTAGACACTTCGGTGATAAAGAATAACGTGAGTTTACAATCAAGCTACACATAGAACGAAGATTTGTGAAAAAATGAATTCGAAAAACAACTGATGACATCGAACAGACGTAATAAGGGAAAAGTAATTTGACACTGTGATAGTGAACACTCGAGTATTTAGTGAGAATTCGCTTTCGTTACATAAGAGATTACTGGGAATTGATAGGGTAATGACAAATAAGATTGACATAATTAATGCATGACATGCAAAATGACCATATTCAATATTTGAAAACGTCAACTTACTGACCTGTTACAGAAACGTGTTTCGAATAGTTCACTAATGTAAGGACATTATACTGTACATATTACAGTATAGAGGATATTAAATGAAATCAAAGGTAGGTTTGAATATTTCGTGTACGAATTGAAGTACAATGGTAAAAATAAATCAATTCACTTAAAATATATAAAAGTTAAATGGTCTTCCAATTCATAATAAAATCACAATACCTGATGAGAAACAAACCGCTCAAATACGAACTAAATTGTCTGCAATGCAACATTAACCTTCATAAAATATTTCTATTTTCAAACGTCAAAAATAATACGAACTAATGTAAACTAAGAAAACTACGCGAAACATCTAGGTGAAAATACGCAACATACACTTTATAATATTCTGTCGTCATTTCATCCATACATTACATGATGGATATCAACAATTCAAAAGTAAATAAAATCACACAACGTCGAGCAAGTCTCACATAATATCCAACCATGAAATGAATTAAAATGGTCTCACCGATTACAACTATGTGCCTAAAAGTCATATCCAGATATGATTTTAATGCCAGAATATTCAATAGAACAATCGTTTTATTCACTTAATCCAGACCAAGAAGATAAAACAATGCAAGTAACAATATATGTATATTTATTGACTAGGGTACAGACATTTAGCTGTAGTCATTAATAGCTGAATCAGTGTAGAAGTATTACAGAACCTAACAGCAGTCATAATTCGTCACATAACACTCATCTCAGCATCATTTTTTCGTAATGTTCACATCGTCTACAACAGGCTCATCCACCACAGGCTCGTCCACCACTTCCACATCCTCCGTTTTCTTTTCACTCTTCGCTCCTACCGGATGAACCTTACGATCGTCCTCCTCATCCTCATCCTTTTCATCCTTATCATCATCATGATTATCTTTATCTGCATTCTTCACTGATTTATCAACCTTCGCATGCTTCTCCTTTTCAGCAGTGGCGGTAGTAGTGCCATTTGCAGCAGCACGAACATCATCATATAACACAGTCATGCAGAGTAGAAACAGTGTCAACTTGAGGAACATGATAGAACAGTTGAACAGATTGAACGTTAACTACAAACGAAATGATTTCGCCACTACACATAAGCATATATATGTACGTGTATATCATATGGACACACCGAATCGATGGTAAATCGAACCAACTAATGTTAGTGTATGGAACGTGCAATTAAGCATTTTTGATCAAAATATCTGAAAACATTTATTGGAAAACATAGTTGTCATTCTCATGAATCGATTCGACAATCAAAGATATTTTGTCACCCTACAATGATTTTCTATTGTTTTTCCACTAGTAAGTTCAGTCTTTTGTTCTGAATAGAAATCGTCATGGTAAGGCGTGCTGAAAAGACTTTTAGTGTCAGTATTTTATGCTGAATATTTGATGTTAAGTTTATGTCTACGGTTTCTTCAGCTTAGACGATTGTGCGTGTGAGCAGTTGGTTGAGGTTCGTTCAACGTTATTGTAGAATGTAATTTAACATATTACACATTGTTCAATGGAGTACTTTGAAAATCTTTTTGACAGAACACCTGTTCACAGACATTAATGTTTTAGTGTTGGAACGAAAAATGTGGTCTTCGAACTTGTTTGTAAATACACTGGATCACGAGAGGTCGATGAACCACATTACCGATCAAAAATTTCAGGAAATTTCTTTTCTTTGAATTACTTAATTAAAGTGATATTAAAAAATCCTAGTCCCCATTGGTAAGCCGACCAACAATGTGTAAACATCAATATGGTTATGTAACAGAAAGTCATGAGAAAGCGAAATAGAGAGGGAAGAGCGTTGAAAAATTATTAAGGATTATTTATTAAACATTTATCATCATATTAGAGAAGGGCTATTCACGCTTTTCTTCTGCTTACATCGGTCTGGTGGAAAACATATAATGCCTTGCACTTGGACTTGTGAAGACTTTTCTTTCTTGTAATCGTAAGTTCCGAGAAGTATGTTCAGAAAAGCTAAAAGAAACTATTCTTTCAGTTCTTCCTACACACTTGCTACTTGAGGTACATTCGCATTCTTATCTGTAATTGAAGTTGACTTTGGATTTATATTTGCCATATTCATTTTGTTTAGTGATATTTTACATGCCTCTCGATTGTGGTATAGCAAACAGCTTGTGTTGTATAGGGGAACTAAATAAGTCCCATAGACGCTTCTCTTCAGTGTTGCATTGATTCTAATTCAAATCTCATCTTGAGGATGGAAGAAGTAGTGTTTTGTTTTGCAAACATTGTTTGTTTATCATACTTAAGATCTTTTTATCTGTATTTTGCAATAAATTTCTTGGGGCACCCAATTTTTATTAGGTGTTTTCCCTATATATGTAGTCAAGTTTCATCGTTTTTCCTTTAGAATAGTTTCTTTTAGCTTTTCTGAACATACTTCTCGGAACTTACGATTACAAGAAAGAAAAGTCTTCACAAGTCCAAGTGCAAGGCATTATATGTTTTCCACCAGACCGATGTAAGCAGAAGAAAAGCGTGAATAGCCCTTCTCTAATATGATGATAAATGTTTAATAAATAATCCTTAATAATTTTTCAACGCTCTTCCCTCTCTATTTCGCTTTCTCATGACTTTCTGTTACATAACCATATTGATGTTTACACATTGTTGGTCGGCTTACCAATGGGGACTAGGATTTTTTAATATCACTTTAATTAAGTAATTCAAAGAAAAGAAATTTCCTGAAATTTTTTGATCGGTAATGTGGTTCATCGACCTCTCGTGATCCAGTGTATTTACAAACAAGTTCGAAGACCACATTTTTCGTTCCAACACTAAAACATTAATGTCTGTGAACAGGTGTTCTGTCAAAAAGATTTTCAAAGTACTCCATTGAACAATGTGTAATATGTTAAATTACATTCTACAATAACGTTGAACGAACCTCAACCAACTGCTCACACGCACAATCGTCTAAGCTGAAGAAACCGTAGACATAAACTTAACATCAAATATTCAGCATAAAATACTGACACTAAAAGTCTTTTCAGCACGCCTTACCATGACGATTTCTATTCAGAACAAAAGACTGAACTTACTAGTGGAAAAACAATAGAAAATCATTGTAGGGTGACAAAATATCTTTGATTGTCGAATCGATTCATGAGAATGACAACTATGTTTTCCAATAAATGTTTTCAGATATTTTGATCAAAAATGCTTAATTGCACGTTCCATACACTAACATTAGTTGGTTCGATTTACCATCGATTCGGTGTGTCCATATGATATACACGTACATATATATGCTTATGTGTAGTGGCGAAATCATTTCGTTTGTAGTTAACGTTCAATCTGTTCAACTGTTCTATCATGTTCCTCAAGTTGACACTGTTTCTACTCTGCATGACTGTGTTATATGATGATGTTCGTGCTGCTGCAAATGGCACTACTACCGCCACTGCTGAAAAGGAGAAGCATGCGAAGGTTGATAAATCAGTGAAGAATGCAGATAAAGATAATCATGATGATGATAAGGATGAAAAGGATGAGGATGAGGAGGACGATCGTAAGGTTCATCCGGTAGGAGCGAAGAGTGAAAAGAAAACGGAGGATGTGGAAGTGGTGGACGAGCCTGTGGTGGATGAGCCTGTTGTAGACGATGTGAACATTACGAAAAAATGATGCTGAGATGAGTGTTATGTGACGAATTATGACTGCTGTTAGGTTCTGTAATACTTCTACACTGATTCAGCTATTAATGACTACAGCTAAATGTCTGTACCCTAGTCAATAAATATACATATATTGTTACTTGCATTGTTTTATCTTCTTGGTCTGGATTAAGTGAATAAAACGATTGTTCTATTGAATATTCTGGCATTAAAATCATATCTGGATATGACTTTTAGGCACATAGTTGTAATCGGTGAGACCATTTTAATTCATTTCATGGTTGGATATTATGTGAGACTTGCTCGACGTTGTGTGATTTTATTTACTTTTGAATTGTTGATATCCATCATGTAATGTATGGATGAAATGACGACAGAATATTATAAAGTGTATGTTGCGTATTTTCACCTAGATGTTTCGCGTAGTTTTCTTAGTTTACATTAGTTCGTATTATTTTTGACGTTTGAAAATAGAAATATTTTATGAAGGTTAATGTTGCATTGCAGACAATTTAGTTCGTATTTGAGCGGTTTGTTTCTCATCAGGTATTGTGATTTTATTATGAATTGGAAGACCATTTAACTTTTATATATTTTAAGTGAATTGATTTATTTTTACCATTGTACTTCAATTCGTACACGAAATATTCAAACCTACCTTTGATTTCATTTAATATCCTCTATACTGTAATATGTACAGTATAATGTCCTTACATTAGTGAACTATTCGAAACACGTTTCTGTAACAGGTCAGTAAGTTGACGTTTTCAAATATTGAATATGGTCATTTTGCATGTCATGCATTAATTATGTCAATCTTATTTGTCATTACCCTATCAATTCCCAGTAATCTCTTATGTAACGAAAGCGAATTCTCACTAAATACTCGAGTGTTCACTATCACAGTGTCAAATTACTTTTCCCTTATTACGTCTGTTCGATGTCATCAGTTGTTTTTCGAATTCATTTTTTCACAAATCTTCGTTCTATGTGTAGCTTGATTGTAAACTCACGTTATTCTTTATCACCGAAGTGTCTAGTTGCTTACTGATCATTAGAGATTATTTATAATCTTAGTTATCGAGAAATGTCTTCACTGTGAATTGATAACCTATCACCTCCTATTCGATTATTTCGGAGTTTCCTGGGTCATTAACTCAACAATATTTATTTTATATGTATTCACATTAACTTTTAACCAAGTTCATGTTGTATACTCATAGTAATTGCTACTTCTCATTCTAATTTGAAATTATAAACAGATTAATTCTCTGCTTTTCCTCTTCATTGAAGGGTTGATTTTCAGAATGATTTTAATGAATTTTTCCTCTTTCTTGTGATCATTAGAAAGGGAAGTGAATACTTGTTCTTTTTGGCATTAATGTTCCAGAGTTCTGTTACTATTTCAATAATAACTGTAAATTCTCATTCTATTAATTCGTTACTCCATTCATGTTTGAAGGAAGATTGTTGAAGAAAGCTTTTCATGTGAGTCGGTTTGTCGTTTATTTCACCAAGACGAAAATGATTTCGCTTAGTGACAATACTGGTAAATCAACACAATTTATTTATTGTTTATCTTAGAAAATAACCCTGTGTTGTAACATGTCAAACGACTATTTGTTCCCATGAAATCACATATTTATTGCATCAATGTGTACAAAAATACAGTTTCTACGTAAACACAATAAACACAATACACACAATGCACACTAATGAATAGAGATGTTTTCTCATAGATACAAATTCAAGGTATCATATTTCAACTTGTTACTGACTATTTGTTTTTTCAGAATAGTTTAGATGTTGCAGATTGTAGCATAATTCGGTGGGATTTCATCTGTAAGATAACCCAACTGTTTTAGTGCCAAACAATTTTCATTCATGAATTCGATGTGTTCTTCTGATAGGAGTGAATTTGCTTTTGACCACGCATCTAGAGAATTGTTGTGAATTAATTGATCTGTTCGACTGGAGTCAGTTCCATATCTGCGGATTCGATATGTGAAATAAAGTGAAACGAATTAAATTGTAGTGCAAGAACAAATTAAACATGTTCAAAGTAAATCATGTCTAAACTGTTTTGCCTTGAATATTCCTGTTTCATAAGTAGTTTCCCCCATACACGTGGTACCTGATTGCTTTGTAATGATTCATTTGAGTCTGATTTGATGTTGTTTTCAAAACGAAGGACGTATTATTAACAACTATCTATTTATTGCAACTAACCATGATGGAATGAGGAGAGTTTGCATAACGTGACTTGAGTTTCTAGAAGTTAGTTTGATAGTATGATTGTGTGTTAAAATCACACTCATATTCGTAGGATGGAGTCAGTCTGCACAGGTGATACCGTATATCCATGATTGAAGTAGTGATGAAACTGTGGTGAATAGCTACTGAATTATAAACCACTTAACTGTGTTTAGTGAAAATGGACACCATGAAATGATTTATCAAATGACATAGAAAAACGACTGTTGGATTTGAAAACTGGTTGAAAATAAATATAAATGATGCTTTTCTATATTTTACTAAAATAACCTAATTTTTTACGTGCATTTCTTCCGCATACACGTTAATGTAACGAAAGGTATGGTGAGAAACATGACTTGTGATAGCTTTGATTATCTATATGTTTGCTCACCCTCTGTTCGTTATCAACATACCTATGACTAATGTGTGATACAAATGACATGTTTTTTCCTCTTCTTCATCGATTTCTAAATTTTTCGGTATTTCTTTTGCTTTTTGCTTTTACATATTAATTAATAAAGACACTCCTTTCTACATTAATCAGTAACTGTTGGTTTATTGGAATTCTCATCAACATTAAGTAAACTTTCAAACTGGTTGTCATGTCATCTGCAAATTTCACAACTACCTATTTCAGTCCATTCGATTTATTGATTAGTACCTTTACCGCCTCATCTTCTAAGCATTTCACGAATCATTCAAACTCGAAATGTCTTGTTTAATATAGCTGAATGTGATGTTGAACAATATCTTCTCACTATTCTTCAATGTTTGAGATATCCATGTGACAATTTCATCTCCTACTTAGAAAGTTTCTATCTTACTTGCTTCAGTATAATTTCTCATATGCAAAAAGCATTCTGCTGACTTATCATTTTAATATGAACTTATCAAGAGAATATTTTACATACTTAAGTAGTTTTTCATCCCATGGCAATTCGAGAAAGTCTAAAAAGGAGAAAAGTGTAGTTGTTAATTAATGTATAAGCAATCGTAAATGATATAAGGCTGAAATGGTTTTGAACCGGTGAGTGAGTGAGTGAGTGAGACATTAGAAAATGTCGTCATGTTGTTATATGTTTATGTGAATGTGAGGAGATTTATTGCCAAAAATATATTTTAGTTGGAATACGAAGACACTGAAGTGTGAACTATTCAGATTAAGCTAACATAGCTGGAACTACTGTCATGGGAAAACTTTAATAATATACACGGATTTATGGTTAGAAATACAGGACTGACTAGAATTATAGAAGTGATGAAAAGATGAGTCAAGTGTTTAGGAATTACTTAATGGAAAATAATCTACTGTTAAAAGAACATGGGCAGGTAGTTCAAATCAAACCAAGTTTGAATTGAAGAACATGAGGGAGATTTAGCCCAGCAAATATTCAGAAATCTGTTTGTAAAAATTAAAGTAGTGAAGTAAATCTTAACGTACTTTCGTTTATTTTGAAGAAGTAACTCATTAAGATTTCCAAATGACATAAATTGATAAATACAACTGAGACTACTGATTTATAGTAAGTAGAATATCGATGAAACAGAAATAAGTATGGGAAATAAATTTCGAAGAGGGAAAGTGAAAAACATTTTTAGAAAGAGAATAATCATTATAAGATTTATTTATTTTGGGACGGAACTGTTCAATATGAAAGTGATTTGTATTTAGAAATGTGTTCTCATTAGCATTCTTTGGTTTGAATTACTCATATCATTCAGTGTGCTTAAATCTGATGTACAAATCCTCAATGTTATAAATAATGCTAAACGTGTTTGTTTGTTGAAAATTTGATGATCTCATCATTACACTCTTCCAAAATGTCCAGTTTGCAGTTTGGCCGTATCGTTCTGTAATTAGGTTGATATTGAACAAGTTTATCAGTTGGATTTACTTTAATGATTGAATTTAATCATCGTTGCTTTCTCTGATTTTATAGATAAATACAATGAATTCATTGACAGAGATGGAGATTGAATGTGATTGTAACAAAATGTTATACCTTAAATTGTGATACAGAAGTTATATTTCTGGCGACCATAAACTACGGAATCTATATATTGAAATGCCTTTCCTGATTATCTGTTGATGAAATGATAATTCTCAATTGAGATATCGAATGTTATGATGAAGGATGTTTTGTGGAGATTGTTGTAATTTAATAGTTGAATTCACTATTCGAATAAAGTGCTACCGTTTGCCATTGTATTCAGTGATTAACTGTCTCTCAAGACACACGTTGAATACCTACTGATCACGGTTTCTCACTGGAACTCCATGAAATAAATCTTGAATGCTGTCATCAGTGAGCACATGAATATTATTGTTATCCGATAGGGTGTTTTGTGAAGATTGTAGTAATTTAATAGCTTGGTTTATAGACGATGACACAATTGCGTTGATTTGTCGAAGTTATACATTAACACCATTAGATGCCGGTTCAGTAGTCTAGATGGTAAGAGTCCACGCGCGAAATCGTCCATTTCTTCCAGGTTTTCAATGGTTGTCTAGCTTTAATCGATACATGAATTCAACTATTAAATTAATAAAATCTGCACAAAATCTTTTTTTTGATCAATACTATTTTTCTTATATTTTTATTCTGTATTTCAGTCGCTTATTTCATTCTTTTTTGCGACATTTTTCTTTTAGCTTTTGAATAATTTCTCTCATGTTGTTCGAAAAATTAATACGTATTCCTATCAACGGTTTCGTTTAGTGATTATACTTTTACTTTGTTGAATTTATCTTCT